GTCAGGAGGAGTCAGTGTCAATGTTAGCAGGAGTCAGTATCAATATCAGCAGGAGTCAGTGTCAATGTCAGGAGGAGTCAGTGTCAATGTAAGCAGGAGTCAGTATCAATGCTAGTGGGAGTCAGTGTCAATGTCAGCGTGAATGACTGCGGAAATCAGTATCAGTATCAGCAGGAGTCAGGATCAATGTCAGCAGGATTCAGTGTAAATATCAGCAGGAGTCAGTGTAAATATCAGGAGTCAGTGTCAATGTTAGCAGGAGTCAGTATCAATGTCAGGAGGAGTCAGTGTCAATATAAGCAGGAGTCAGTGTCAATGTCTGCAGGAGTCAGCTTCAGCTGAAGACCCTGACCCCCTCAGTAGGAGGCTTTGTTCAGCATGCCTCCATTCTAGCGGCTGTTATCATTCGCAGGAATCAGAGTGGGAAATGACATGCCCGGGGGTGTCTGTGTTCACAGCAGCTTCAGCACTTCAACAAGAGTCACTGTCAGCTGGAGTCACTGTCGACAGAGGCTGTTCCCAGCTGGAGTCTGGTTCCAGGAACCAGTGAGGCAGCATTCAGGAGGAATCTCCAGTTTTAGTAGACCAGCTGCACACTGGAAAAGCAAATTACAGATAAAGCAAATTAATGATAAGCATCCACATGCACTACCAGACCTCTGCTGCCAGGTCGTCAGCTGTGGAACAGACAGAATTCATGCATGTACTTATTTACAGACAACATGGTACAGTCCATTCAGGCGAAGCAGCAATGAGTGTGTATTGATGGACACCCCCATATCCTCGATGGGCTGCTAATCACCAAAGCAGCATTGACAGTCATCTAATAAAATGAGCAATGTCTCCTTAGACATTCCATGTGCTTCAATGGATGTTTCTGAGAGCCAGAGCAAAACCTCTGGACCCCAGGAACAACCTGGAAGAACTTCTCGTGTGTGTGTGTGTGTGTGTGGGGGGGGCTGTTTCATAAACAAAGGCTGAAAATACCGTAATCTAAGGAAACAAATTTACTGCACATCTCAACCCCCCCCCTCCTGCTACCCCAGCCAAGTGGCTTACAGGCAAGTTAAGTAGTTTAGGCGTCATAAATCAGGTATGCCCCCCTCCCCCGGGGAGACGGCTTGGGGCACTCCATCCTTGTTTTTGTGACACTAACATTCTTATTATTAGCTTACTTGCAAGATATTGTATTTCCTGGTCAAATGCAGGTGGGGAGGGGGGCATCCAAATGGACAGACCAGGAAAGCCATTACTGTGGCAGAAGCCATATCACTGTGGCACCTGGGGGGAGGGGGGTGGTGCCAGTGGGTGGGGGAAGGACAGCTTAATCAAGACGCAATTGCCCCAATGTCCCAGAGCGACAAAACAATGGGTATCCTTCAGCCCAGTAACGTTGGACCACTCTCCGTCCAGTACCAGTAGAGTGAATTGGTCCCTCTGTCCAATAGCAGTAGAGTGACATGGTCCCTCTGTCAAATAGCAGTAGAGTGACATGGTCCCTCTGTCCAATAGCAGTAGAGTGACATGCTCTTCTTCTAACCAGGAGCAACATGCTAAGGTCCATTCGCCCAGTAGCAGGAGTTCGCGATCAATCTCTGCTCATTCTCAGCTCCTCCCTCTCACTTTTCAGATGTTTTGTGGGCAGGGAGTTGTGTCACCTGGTTCATCCTGAGTAAACAAGCTGCTAATTGTTCATAGGAAAGCACCGGAATCGATTGTGTTTGCTTTATCCCGCTGGGGCAGCTGGCATCTCACTTTTCAATATCGATATTCTCAGTGAAGTATCTCTCCATCTCAGGGTACTGAAATGTTCAGTGTCTCTATCCACCAGAAACAGGCACCACAAGCCCCTCTTCCCAACAGCAAACTGGCCAGTGTGGGCCCATGAAGCTTGGGGGCTGAGCATTTTGACAAGGCTAGTCTTATCACAGCTGCGATTTTATTCTGCGTCACCCGCTTCAGCCAGTGCTGCAGCCCTGATTCTTGAATTCTGCAGAATAAACGAATAAATTCAGCCATTTCCCTGCTCCTCCAGCCGACTGGCTGCTTCCTGTTTGCTCAGAGAACAGTAAAAACACCACACGCTCCCTATCTTTATATATCTACAGATGACGCAAATTAATTCACAAATAATAATTTAGGAAAAAATGCATGTTTTTTTTCCAGGATCAAAGATGAGGGCTTGTTTTTTCCTGAGACCCCCTTAAAGGCTCTGCCAGGAACGCTACTCAGATCCCCTGGCAGCCCGACTGCTTTCAGCTGTTTTAATATGCTAAACAACCGGTGTAGCCTAATTGTCCTTATTAATACAGCGACACATTTGGAAACCGCCGCGATTGTTTTGGTTTACAGAAAAGGCGAATGCATTAAATAGATATTCGTATAGAGAAATTTGATACATAACAGTGAAAATGCGTCTGAGTGCTTTTTACGGCCCTCTGAATGTGATTTTCTAATCATTATGAGAAGAGCATGGTTATAGGAGCCGTTCGGACGAGGCTTCATTGCCCCCCGAATAGGGTAAAAATGTGTCATATTGGTTCAGTTCTAACCAATAAATGAGGAGAGGTCCCCAAACCACGCTGCCATTTTAATTAACCATTAAAACCGATCGAGCTCACGCCGTGTATTTAAGCCGCCTGTTCTGTGCGACGGGTGTATAATGCACAGCACGACTAATAAGCCCGTTTCTTTATTTTAAAACGACGCACTGGTGCATTAATTATTTGAATTACTTGGATATTTAATATTTAATGTTTGCAAGTAATTGTATTTATTTTACTTATTTTTGCGGTGATAAATGTTGCCCTTACGTTTATCCATTTGAATTCTCAACATACTATGAAATACTTAAATAGTAATAATATTCGAATTAGGTGCATATGAGAGCATTTTCATGCATGCTCAGTATTTTCCCTCATCTGCTCAGGGACAACGGCGCTTCGCAAATTAAAACAGATCATCTGCATCGTTAATCGGATCTGCAAAATAATATGTAATATTAAGTTTGCGCACGTTGCCGACGCGACTCCAACTAGACGTGCGAGGCCGGTGTTTTATTGCAGCCGACCGCCTGATGGCACCGCGCCTCCGGGAGACCCGAGTCTCGTCCCCCCGCGCACATACACGGCTGAGCAGCCTGCGGAGCGGCTCTCCGGGGGATCGCATCGGTCACGATTCCATTTAAACTCCGCTCCCTCCAAGCCGAGATTTTAAAAAGCGATTTCATCTCCTGTCATTCATTGATATCGACACGCCGTGGCCTGCGAAACTTAACTCATGCTGAGGGAATGTGCCGGGATCCGCGACGCCGCCCGGGGAGTGGTCGGAGCCGGGCGAGGCGAACCTGAACCCGCGCCTTTGAAGGATCCTCCTGGTCACTTGCAAATCAGAAAAATAAACTTTGTGCAGCTGGAGCAACAGAAAGAAATGAGACATCGAGATGCAAAAAAAACGGGAGTTCAGGTGTTAAATAATTGTCTCTAAAACGTTTTCGGTGAATATAACAGATCGCGAAGTATACGAAATGAAAACAGGTTTAACTTTGCCGTGTTCTGGTGAGCGCAATATACTGTAAACTTTTTTATTTTCCGAAGCAGTGTGTAAAAACGAGGAATTACGCATAGTAAAAGGTTTTACCAGCCTGAGGTCAGGGTTTCTGGATAACAGATTAAACATCAGACCAGTATCAGCGGGACTTTTTTTTTTTTTTTTAAAAAGGGGGGAAAGTCTGACAAACAAGCTGCTTGTTTGTGTTTTATTGCCTTTTGCTTGACTTTCCCGGCTGCACGTGGAGCTGATTAATTGGCGCTTCATATGCACAGTGCTCGGTATGGTCACGGGCAGATCTGCAGCTGGAAATGCCGGATCAGATGCCCGGGAGGAGGGGGGCGTGAGAGGCGCTAAAGCGGGCGCCTTGGCTCGGTCCCACAGTCCCGCTCCGGCGCTCAGAGACTGACCGGATAGGGACACACACACACACACACACACGCATAACTCCGGGCGGACTCGGTCCCAGCAACATGTACCCAGCGTGCCGGACACACGCTGCCGCTTTCTCCCGGCTCTGGACGATGTCTGCACGCCGGGCAAGAGCGAAGCGCCTCTTCGGCTGGATACTATTGCTATTTTCGGCTTCCCAGCGGACGGCGGCTCAAGGTAAGGCTCCGCTCCGGTCGGTGCCCCGAATGCATGCAACACTCGCCGTACGGTGACGGCGGCGACCGGCGTGAATGAATCCTCTCCACGCGCGCGTCGCGTCTGCGGGGTCCGGCGCTCGTAGCATGTGGGGCTGCTGTCTATATCACCTTTGTATGCGTGCGATACGTAATACCAGTTTATATGCTCATGCACATGTGCACACGAGTGTGTCCAGATTGGCCGAAGCTCCACTGCTCCCCTCCGGGGCTTTCGGCTCCGGACCGGAGGAAGGGAGTCCGGCGCCCGTGTAACTTTGCCAAGGAAAACGTCTGCTGCTCTCTTGCAGGCGAAACTCTTGCTATTGAGGCTAAGTTTAGACAGCAATGACACCCCGACCGCCACAAAGATAATGGAGCTTGACTAGCGGGGTATTTCGGGATGATGTGTCTGACATATGATGACGACCGGCAAGTAGAAGTTTAAAAAGCGGACGTGTTGCAGTTTTTACAGCTGCAGCATTAAGATTCGCCTAAAACGAGCATTAACCTCTGCTCCAAGGAGATCATTATTATCGATTGTGTAAAAGCTATATCAATTATAGCGCCTTTTACCATTTAATGTCGCCTGGATCTTCATCATAATAACATTGGAGACCGTGATCCAAGTCTGCAGCGAGTGTGACAGTGGAAGGGATTAAAGGCATCTGTTTCCCAATTTGTATTCCATTTTCCTACGGTTCAGTCAGGACATTGCTGAAATCGCGCTTTCTGTGCCTCATGCTTTTCTCTGTCCCGTCTAATTTAGCTGTGGGAGCTACAGGCTTTAATTAATGGGCTGCAATTAATTTGTCTCCCTTGTCCATAGGGATGAAAGCTCGCAACTAGTGTAGAAATGGTAGAAGTAGTTACTGCCTTTGACCTTTTTATGCACAAACCCAGAGTAAACAAGATCCCAGAATGAACCGCTTGGATTTTCCGATAAACCGCGGGGCTCCGCGCAGGAGCGAAGCGGCTTGTGGTAAATTGCAAAGGCCTCAAGTTAAAAAAAAAAGAAAGAAAAATATATAGAGAGAGACTAGAGACCCATTAATACTTATGGGGCTTTTAACTTTGAAATGCCCACGGGCATCTGTGATATATATATGGGGGGTACATCACTCTGCCCCTCCCCCAAAGCGTGTCAATCCAACACTGTCCTTCATCCCCATGTTTGTAAAAGCAGAACTTAAAGAAACGAACAGTGGGAACAGTAATCCCAGGAGAGGAGCTGCTTTGTCTCCTTAATCGTGGTTCATGCACTGAGGACTTCTGGCAAAATCTCCACACCCCCACCGCGTCGTCATCTCGCCAGGGCTGTTTTTGTTAAATCCACACTTCATTTGAAGGGAAATCTGCCCTCCATGCATTTTTCCTCATTTTCACAGCGCTTTCTCCATCTCAGGTCAGCTGACAGGAGTGACCGAGTCCTTTCTCATACTTCTTTGGGAGGCTGAAATGGAAACAGCCCCCCCCCCCACTTTAAAGTGCCTGTTAAAAGCTTTTTAACAGTGATCCTTCAGTGAAAATCTTCCCGTTTCGATACGAGAAGCATCCGTCCGCTTGTCATAAAACTGCAAGGCTTGCATTGTGTTGGCACGCTCGGATCATTGTGTCGACCCGTTTGGATCATTGTGTCGACCCGTTTGGATCATTATGTCGGCATGTTCTGATCATCGTTTCGTCATGTTCGGATCATCGTTTCGTCATGTTCGGATCATCGTGTCGACCCGTTCGGATCATCGTGTCGACCTGTTCGGATCATCGTTTCGTCACGATCGGATCATCGTTTCGTCACATTCGGATCATCGTGTCGGCACGCTCGGATCATCGTTTCGTCATGTTCGGATCATCATTTCGTCATGTTCGGATCATCGTGTTGACCCGTTCGGATCATCGTTTCGTCACGATCGGATCATCGTGTCATCACGCTCGGATCATCGTTTCGTCACGATCGGATCATCGCGTCGACCCGTTCGGATCATTGTTTAGTCACGTTCGGATCATCGTGTCGTCACGTTCGGATCATCGTTTAGTCACGTTCGGATCATCGTGTCGACCCGTTCGGATCCCTACGCTTCTCCTCTCTTTCTCTCTGCTCCATGCATTTTTAACACTGTGCAACATAAAGCAATTCCTGTATGCTTCCCCGACATGTTTGCAAGATGTGGGGGATACAGAAGGTTCACGGTTTTTGGGTGTTTTTCAGTAGATAGTCCCTCGTCACAGGCCGCAAAACCTGCTGCGCTATGTGGGATTGAACCAGCAGCCATTTAGAATTTTGCGTCTGCAGATTCTTAGCTACTGCACCATCTGCTGTGCAATTTAGGAAGCACCGTGTTTGTAAGGGTCAGTTCAGAGGGGTCACCCTCTGTCGATTGCCTTTGGCTGCATGTGAATCCTGGCAGCATTTAGCAGAGTGGATTAACTTGACAACTTACAGCTGGACCCCACACTCCCTTGTGAGGACAGTGGATTAGCCTTTTGGGTGGGGTGGGGGGGGGGGAGCTGCAGACTGAGTGATCAGGTCCATGGTTCTCAGCTGAAGATCATTGCAACTCAACTGCAAATAATGCTTAGCTGTCATGATTCTCTTTACTATTTCTGATTATTTAAATTCTTTTTTTGCTCTTGTAATTTACTAGAAAACATTAGAAATTACATTTCTGAACAGCAGTGTGCTGTGTTTTTCGCTGTGAAAGTTCTAGAAGCTTTGCAGCGCACCTCAGTGCTGTGGGGGTCCAGTCTGGCGGAGAACATACCTTCTGTTGGTAAACGGCCCCTGTCAGCATGTGCTGGGAACACGCGTGATCTGACGGGCTTCGCTCGCACACGGGGACGCCTTCTGAAGCACGTCTGCATTTTGACGAGGCTGTCGGGGGAGCAGCAGGATATGCGGTTTGTTGGAGCGAGACCGGGGGGGGTGCTGTCGGCATTGACGAAAGGCTCCGGAAGGGGGGCGTCTCATTCTAGGACGTGCACGTTCGATGGAAGATGCCCCCCTTCCCCCAGACGATCTGACAGGGTCCCAGTTTGTCACGTGTGTTGGGATGACACAGGTCTGTCTCTCCCGTAGAATGGAGCATGAGGCCATTATGAGTTTCCTGGGTTATCAGTAGTTTGGGATGAGAGCTTTGCTGGGTTTACTGAAGGGGCCGCTGCTTTGAGTTTGTCTAGATTTACTGGGTATAAGCTGGACAATTACAGTCCAGCAGAATTTGTCAAAATCATTCGTCTCCATGGCTCTGTGAACATGAGAGGTCTGCTGACCTTTTGGAAGGCATCAGAGCCTGGTACCTTTGTCTCTTGATGGCCAAGATGGTAGAAAGGTCACTTGTTGAGCCAAAGTTGTGTCAAGACCCTCAAATGATGCCCAGTCACCTTTGACCCCCCCAGGGTGCCCCCCACAGCAAGCCCCAGGGCCAAGAGCCTCACTGCTGAATATGAATGATCCACCTTTTCAACCCCCCCCCCCCAAACCTGTTAATTGCAGTAAAGCTACATTTTAATTTTTCCCCTGGTCTTTTTGTTACCCCCCCCCCAACACTGCCAGATGGGCAGGAGCGAGCTGAAAAGCGGGATTCTTACATTAGACAGAGGCCGTCTGACAGCGCGGTGCGGTCGCCGTGGGAACCCGCTGGGGCTCCTTAATGGTACACCGGATGTTAAATCACGTGGGGATACCTAATACCCCCCCGGGGATGCTGGCTGTCATACTGTTATTTTCACAGGTTGTTGAGTTAAAAAAACATTCCTACTCAATCTCCACTACAATGAAGACCAGTGACTCTGGAATGAGAAATATGACTGTATTTTGACTATGAGAGCACCCCCCTCTGCCTTCACTGTGTATTGTGGGTCCCACGGTGCCCCCTCTGTCCTTACTTTGTCGTGCAGGGAGCACGTCTCATCGTGGCTGAAGCGTGACCCTTGGCTGGGCCTGTTTCTGTGGATGATCAGCGATGGCACAGGTTCACTGCTCAGTCCTCTGTTCTGTGTGGTTATTGTGGGTGGCTATGTGACTCTGAGGCTATGTATCTGTGCCAGCAATTGTAAGGTTGCTGGGTTGAATCCCACAAATGCCAGGAGTGATCCTACTCCATTGGGCCCTTGAGCAAGGTCCTTAACTGCTTCATCCTGGGTATGATGTTAATCTACATCCAGTCCTGCAAGTCCTCCAACTTATAGGGGGAAATTTGGGGGTTGGTGGCAGGATTGGCCACTGGAAAAATACTCACACTATTCCATTTGGACTAGTGTGCTGCTGAGGTATCACCTGCCGCATGGCTGCACTCAGGCTCTCACCCCTGAGCTGGTCTGTCGCGTGGCGGGTGCAGCAACGTGCTGTCATCAGCGCACCTCCTTACTTCTCTCTCTCTGGTTCTCGGCTCTGTTTGGTTCAGTCTGGTGGAAGTTCTGGAGGCCGGAGCTGCTTTGGGCCAGGGGTCCTCCACTCTCCTCCATTTTCCTTATTTTTTTACAGGCAGAGGGGTGAGTGGGGGGGAGGGGGGGGGGGGTGCTGACTTGGCCTGTGAATTAGACCCCCTGAGAAATTAAGGAGGGTTGTGGTTGAGCCTCACGGGCCCAGCAAACAGGCATCATGTGGGGCAGGAGTACTGTGGATTTCTCCTGACACCCCTCTACCTGCCATATTATTGTTTAATCTCCCCCTCCCCTGCAGACTGTGCATATGGTGACACACCCCAGTCTCCACCAGTCACATGATTGTGCCGTAAATATATGTGCTCATACTGAGCCCTCTGCTTTGCAGTGGTGTCCATGTTCTGACCCCTACCCCATCTGCTCATTTTCCTTTGTTTTTTTTGGTCACTGGTTAAGAAGGTAACCCCTACTGTTTGTGGTGTGATTGAGGCAGTGACTATAATGCAGCCCGACAGCTCCGGGTCTACAGGGGCTGGAACCACCGCCCTTGTGGTTTGGCCACTGAAACTAGGTGTTACTTCAACTACAGGCATGACAGTC